GTTCTCAGCCAATGTTTGAAGATATTTTATGCTTTAAAACTAATATCCCCAAATTTAATTATCATATTTTCTTATTAATAGGTTATTTTATAAAAGTGGTTTTAAAAAAACTGGGACCCCTGTTTGAGATATTGTCAATTTTACTTTTTTCATCTTTCATGAACATTTTTCTACTTCCCATATTTTCACTTGTACCTCAAATATCTGATGCCAATATATATATATATCTGATGCTTCTCCCTAGTTCCAGTGTTAGTGTCCTTTAATCTCTCAGCTAGCTCCCACCTGAACTCATTAAGAACCTCAAAGATTTCTTCCCGTCTTGTCTGCTTCCTTTCCAAGTACTCAAGAGCCCTAGCTTCCTCAGTGTTCCTTATTTTTGGACTCAGTACACCTTCTGCTCAGCAGCCAGTTTCTGCAACTCCTTCCAGCCTTGTTTGCCCCTTCATTCGACTATTGGTAATCACAGTTTGATATGAAGTTAACTGAAGTATGTATCTTTCTGAGAAGGAAACTGAATCTGACAACAAAATTCAAAAATAAAACTAACCTGGAAGGTGATTCAGGCTAGAGGAAATGGGAGGAAAAAAAACTGTATTGTAATCGGGCTGGGGATTTAGCTCAGTGGTACCACCACCTGCCTCTCAAGAGCAAGGTCCTGAGTTTGATCCCTGGTACCAAAAACAAAACAAAACTGTACTGTAATCAAATGGCATAGGATATGTACAGCTTCCTAAGGCAGTGCTTGAGTGTCAGAGTGTGCAGTACATGGCCTGTTATGTTCCCAGAGTAAAGGTGGCATGTACATTACCACAGAATGTATCAGCAAGGAAAATGTTTTGGGATCACCTTTATTTGGTGTCACTTCTTCCAAGATGGTTTGTGGATTTACACAAATTGGTTTTATTGCCTATAACAGGTATATAACAGCATATCTAATCCTCATTGAAAAGATGATTTCAAAGTAGGTCATTTGAAATGATAATATGATGCCTTTTTTAGGAAACAGCCAGAACTCTTCTATTGTGATTTTTTTCCTCTTTCCAGAATGATTTGATTTTCTCTTATAGTTATACTCCAGTAACTTGTGAAATTTGTTACACATTTTAATAGATCTGAGATTTAAGATGTTGGAAGTAGAACACTAGGAGTGAGACAAGCTTCATAAAAACAGAGACTTCATACTGTCTAAGGAAATACAATTTCACAGTTAATCTAAATGGGATTTCTATTTAAAGTTCTTCAGTGCAACACGATACTACATGTGTCTATGCTTAGGAGAAAGGTGTGGGTGTGGTTGTTTCCCTTAAATCTTATTTTATATATTTCATTATTTTATGCCATGGTCTAATATGGTGCACAAAGAACCTCTTCATAGACTCTTCTCAGTGATGATCAATAGTTAGGTTTCTTTGTGCTTAGAAGTTACTTTTTTGATACCTCTAAATATTTTTTTAACCTAATTTCACTCTTGAAGGGCAAACTATAGAGAAAATGTGAAGTTGAGCTTTTTTAGCATGGATCCTGCCTCTGCATATTTTAAGGATAAAATATGTGATCTTCTCAGAGCTGTCAGCTGTGATTTTTTGAAGTCCTCTTGGGTATCACCAAGCCCATTGGTGGCATTGCATCATTTTAATGGGGTGATTATCAAGAGACAGGGTCTCTTGTCACTGTGTCCTGGGAGAACAGGTCCCTGGTGATATCACATCTGTGTTTGAGGTCCTGCCTCTGTGCTGGGGCAGGAGGCCTGGACAAGGTAGACTGTTCCTTGGCTGCTGTGTTCACAGAAGGTCCATGGTCTCAAGGAAGTTTGGTCATAGAAAGAATGCTAGACAGAGAATCAGTTACTTCTGGCCAGTAACTTCCTCTGTGACCTGTGCAAACCACTTAACCTCTCTGAACTTGGCTTCCTTCTCTGAAACATGAGAGGACCTGGATTTAGTACATTTCAGGGGACATGAGGCCAGTAAACTTATTAGATTGTGAACAAAGTACAACTTCAAATTAAGATATGTACCCATTCTAACATTTTCTTATCCAGTGCTTATATGGCACTGACAGTTGCCAGACACTGTTCTAAGTCCTTAACAAAGATGAAGCCTGAAGTCCCCAGACTACCCTGGGAGGAAGAACAATCAATTGTCTCCATTTTACAGACACAGAAATGCATGAGCAGAAACAGAGCTGGGATGCACACACAGGCGTCTGCCCTCTAGCCAGGAACACTGTTCCAGCCTGGCTTTGACCCCTCCACCATGCATCCTTTCCCTGGTGGCTTCAAGAAGGAACTTTAGGTTGCCATGTTGTGCAGGAAGCACAGGAATACAGAGCCCCTTCTTCAGTGATAGAAAATAGCTCAGTCTATTTCCTAAGCCTCTTGTAGAAAATCTTTGACAAACCCTGTGTTTTATTTTTTCAAGATTCACCAGAAAAAACAGCCCTAGGGAGAGATGAGGGAAGAGAATTTAGATACCTTGGTCCCTAGCTGCAATTAGAGCATGAGAGTTCTAGTGTTTGGAATCTTTAGTTGCCTGATTACTGATTTTGCTTATGCATAAATACAAGTTGCTGAGCTAAGCAAAAAATAATTGTAATAGCTTCATTTAATCAGAATGCAGCCAAGTTGTACTCGTGAGAGTTTTGGACTTGCAGATGAGGCCATCCCTGGGGCTACCTGTCTGACTGCAGCACTGTGCCTGACCCACTTGCCAGCTCTGGACAAGGTGGTTTTGAAGTCTTCCAGGGCACAGCCGCACACTGCAGCTGGCAGTTACCTTTCATAACCCGAGGTTCATTCCTGAGGCATCTTGGGGCTGTGTGGCACATAAGGAACTCTTGCACATGCTTGCTATTGTCACCTCAGCAGGAGTCACAAGATTCATTGTTAACCACTAAACCCAGAATCCTTAACAGTGAGGTGACAGGGGTCTGCTCCTGAGACATCTGATGAAGGCAAAGGTCCAATCCAGAGACACTGTCTGATGGAGGGCAGGTAGCCGTAATCGGCAAGGAAGGCCCCACGACTTCTCAGGATCTCTGCTTTTGTGGTACCTGGAAGCCATGCATTTGAAGGTCTTGGTGTGATTTTATATCCCTCTCTGGCTGGGCTAATGTTAGGGAAGAAAGGCACCTGCTTTTAATGGAAATCCTGTGTTCTCCCAGAAGGGAGCCAAGGACTAAGCCTGCAAGAGAGCTTTCCTACCCTCAGTCCAAGTGCATCACTGACTGTACAAAGTGAGGTGGAGGAGTCATGATTTGTGTGAACTGAGACATGATACCTCTCACTGGCATGGCAGAGTAGGATGGTATTCTCTCTGGGTGCTGTGGAGACCCATCCAGAAGATCCAAGAGGCTTACCAGCCCTAGGACTACTGTCAGAGAGGCTGCTCTGGGATGACTCGGAACCCACTGGGATCAGCCCTCTCTGGTTGGCTCAAGTGAGCAAGAGCAATGGCAGTGGGAAGTTGGGAGCAAGAAGCCAGCACTGCTTCTCTCTCCCAGAATGCAGCTGCCTTCACAGCCCTGAGTCCAATCTCATCACCGTTCTTCCTCTTACCTTTTTCTTTTCTTTTCTGAGTCCTTTTCTCCATCTTCCCTCCACATTCACTGTCCACCTTCGATGCTCTGTGCATACATCCCTTCAGCTTCCACAAAAATCTCACCTCTTGTTTGTGGTTAGTGTCCCTGGTGGACATGTTTATCCCAGGGTCCTGTGCATGACCAGACACCTTGACTTCTCAAGGGCTTTGTGGGTCTCTTATGACCTTAGGAGACCTTTCATCCTTGGCTCATGTTCAATGGCCTACCCAAAATGTTTAATTCTACTTTAAATTTTTTCTTTGGAATCAGAATCATAGAAAAGAAAGCCAGGAAAAGTGAGGGGGAAGATTTGGAGAGGATTTTAACTTACCTCATTTTGCCTCATGACATTTTTCATGGAACAAAACAGTTTTACTTTGTCTTTGACTCCAAGATCACAGTGTAGGCTTTTCACTGAAGGCGTGAGTTACTTTTCTTTAACCTTTCCTCAATGGCCCTGTTTCCCAGACATGTCCTCTCTATATGACAGCCTTCTGATGTTCTTTATAGTACCTATGGAGCCTAATTTAAAATTCTATTTTAATTCCCCTCCCCATCCATGGCCTTGGTGAGGAATGTGTTTTACTATCTTGAATGATAGCCAGTCTAGGAATAAGCATAGTGCCATCTGAAGCTCCACTCTGGATAAGAAGAGTGAGTATTTTTGGAACGCCCTAGTAGGGCACTGACTGGCTGTACTTAGCAGTGGCAGCAGCAGAGTGGTACATGGGATTCATCCATCACTAGCATAAAGCTGTGATCCACAACTGGGTGCTCCCCTTCCCTGCCCTTCCTCACAAATTCATGGTCTGAATCTCCAGCCAGACCCACTAGGCATGTCACCATCACATGCTCATCCTTAGCCTGTGTGAAGCCTCCTCTCCACTTTCCACCTTTCTCCAGAACTCACTCTTTCCTTGTGCTGGCTTGTCTGGTCAGTGCAACAGCTTCCCTATATACACTCTTGGCTTCCTAAAGTACTTTGTACAACTTACAATGCAAAGGTATGGGCAAGAGCAGTTGAATAGACGAAATTAATGCACCAAAGTGTCCAGGTTGGTAGGTTTTGCATTGATCTCCCTGTAAAAGATCCCATATGAAGGAGAACAGACCAAGCTGTGATTGTCCTGTAAGAAAGGCAGAGACACAACTCATCCATAGTCGAAATGATAAATAACCATAATCTCTGGGTTGAGATTAGTCAGGCGCTGCTTCTTTTGATCAGCTTCTTTCTGTGGTGGAAAATCATTAACACCTGCATTGCCCTCAGGGCAAAGGAAGGTAAGGTAAGAAGGCAAACAGCAGTTGTCGCCCTGCCCCTTCCTAACTGTGACACACTGTGTCCTTTAGATGACCTTGACACAGTTATGTGGATTGCCGGTATCTTCTCTGATGAATCTCTTCTCTTTTGCTTTTAGCTCGGGGACCTGCTTCACAAGTTACAGTTTGTCCTGGCCTACGTGGCTCCATGGCAGATGGCTTGGGGTTCATCGTTCCACGTGTTCGCGCAGCTTTTTGCAATTCCTCATATCCTTTCTAGGTCTCTTTTCACCCCAAGCTCAGATTTATGTTTTATGGATGTGAGCTTTTCAGTGAACCCTGACAATGAAAAAGATTTTAAAATATCTATGATTATGTCTAAATGGAGACACAAGGAGGTACTTTGGATCCCCTTTAGGCCACTTAGCCTTAAAAGATGTTTCATAATTTTGAACTCTTCTTGCTTTTGAGTGCTTACTTGGGAATTACTTTTATTTTTTCTGATTCTTCCATTTCCCGTGTCCAGATTTTCACTAAGAAACTGGTCTTTTAAATGGAAAATAACCACTTGAATAACTGGGTTGATTTGTACAAAATAGTACAATTGGATTTGTTATTATTAATCACTGTGGATAGGGTTGATGCATTTGATCTATTATATTTATTATGATATATTATAGTTTTATATAATATATATTTCGTTAATATTGGAAACCTACAATTAGGTACAAACAGAATTACTCAAATGTTTGTGAAGATTGAAAAAAGAAATTATGGCTTTATTTTGTGGTTGCTATTACCCAAGAAGGCTTGGTATGTTTTTTGTGTATTTCCATGATGAGAATTCATTTTAATTCACTTCAAAGCAAACTTCAAATGACTCTTCTAAATACCACTTCGACATAGCTCAATTTATGTTCCCATGTGTGCTCCAGTGGAAAGATAGAGAGAGACACTGATTTAAAATATTCTTGAAAAGAGAGATTAGTAGAAAACTTCTTACTGTGCTAAAATTTGCTCTTAAACATTTCCTATCCCACTGAACTCATGCTTTCTAGATCTTTGTTTCCAAGTTGTGGCTCGGGGACCCTGTGGCTTAGGGACTCTCGAATACTGGAGGAACTTGTTAAATGATAAATTCCTGAGCCCAGGGCATCTTTCAAATCAAATTTCATGGGTGAATTCTGAGATCTACACCTTCAGAAGCCTGCTTGGTTTTTCTTATGCCCACTGGTGTGTGTGAACCACAGTTCTAAGCTCTGGCCACCCATTCTGGGTGCTACTGGCTGCTCCATCTACTCTGGGTATTGCTAACTTCTTGTAATGACTGTGTGGAGCTTCTTTCACTTTAAATTTACATAACGCTCATTAAGACGGTTCATAAGGAATCTCAGGGACTGAACTTACAATTCAAGGATGGAAACATACTTGGAAGAATCATTGAGTCATAATATATTCTAGATATTTTTTAAAATGCTCGCTCTCCCAGGATCACTTGTTCTAAAATAAAATTTTAAAGCAAATCAAGAGCTGGCCTCACATTGTTCTGTGTTTCTGTTCTTAGACCTGCATTGATAATTCTGAAGTGTTTCAAGGCTATTTGGCAGAACAAGCTAAAGGGAAAAAATATTTGCAAAAGCATGAGCTCTCACACCACCCTTTCCTGCTAACTTCACTCATGTTTTATAATGCTAGGCATTTGGTTTCCCTAAACAAGTTTCTTTAAACAAAGACAGGGGAGGTGAAAGATTGAGATAATTTTTTTTTTTTTGTATGGGGGGATTGAGCTCAGGACCTTGTGTTTGTGAGGCAAGCGTGGTGCCACTGAGCTAAATCCCCGGCCCTGGGGTAATTTTTATTTCTAAGGTTTCTTGTCCAGATCTTCAAGCTTTTCTATTTTATTAAATGAAAATTATTACAGTAATGTAAATTTGCAGTTGAGGGATCTCCATAAGAATTTAAAACATGAAGCTCTGATTCCCAGTAATATCATAACTAGTTGAGCTTCCTATCAATGTTGGCACATTGGTAGGCAGTGGTGGCCCCACAGCTGAGCTGAAGCTGTTATGGGCACTGTGACTTTCTGTCGTCTACCCCGTCTGTGGGTGAGGTTCCTGTACAAGCAGGAACGTGTGCTCGCCACTTGAGAACTCTTGTAAGGACAAAAGCAGCATTAGCCTTAGCTTGCACACTGTGTGCAGTTAATCAGAGGCCATTCCTGATGCGTTGTTGCATTCTCTTGAGAAATTAAAACATCAGAGGTGTAGATTTTATCGGGCATTTGTTGGTTCTGTTTTAGAATATTCCACCATTCCTCATGCTTCATTCCTAAAGCCAACCTTGTTAGTGACATCTTCTTCCTCCGTCCAGCTAACATAGGGGCCTTCGAATCCCCACCCTACACCCCCAACCCCACCCCACACAGGACCACTCCCCTTCCTTTGGTGCTTCTGGGCCTTTCCTTCCCCCTTATCCATAGACACTTCCCCATCCTCGCTTAGTTGCAAAGGCATATGTTTGCTAGCTTGAGTTCACCATCATCCTGCTCAGAATACTATGAGATAAGTAGTTGCAGAACTGGGTTTACATGCTGACCAGACAAACTATCAGGTTCCTAAATGTCAACCCAGGATCCCAGCTAATTCAGAAATGTTAATTATTTTATCACTCTATTAAGAAACTGCAGATTCCACACCAGGATTGAGAATGGACTAATTTGCTTCATTTTGGAATTGAATTAGCTCTCAGACCAGCAGGGCACTGGTAGGTAAATTGCTTTTTCCAGTACTGGCATGTTTTCTCCCTCAGTGCCTCTGTTGGCTTCTGAGCTTATAACCTCCAGGGAAAGATGAGAATGCTCACCCTTTTAATGTGTGTAGAGACCATGCAAGACCATTGTCTTCCAATAATTAGACAGACCTCGCCACATTATCCTTGCTAACTGCACGTGGTGGGAAGGCTGATTTCCACTTGCCACAGCCTTTTGAGCTTCTAATGATTTTTTTTAATCTTTTAATTATTGGTGTTGGTGTTTTCATTTTACATCTGCTTTTAAAGGAGTCCACCACCTGCCTTGTAGGCTAACCTCTTGGCCCTTTCTCTTGGGGAAATCTAGAAAGGGCTTCATGTGTTCAATTCTCTCAGGGGCCCCTCTGGCGCTACCGTACCTGTGCTGTCACAGTCTCTCCTCTCTGCCCTGAGCCTGTGGTGTCTTCACTGGTGACCCCCTAGTGAGAGAACTTCAGAGGCCACCTGCTCCCTCCTGTCCTTCCCTCTGACCATGTCTCCCTCACCATGCTCAGCTTTGTATGGACTACTACTAGTTTCCCCCCTTCCTAACTTCTGCATAATTGTTTGGGTCGTTTAAAAAATGTACAATATAATCTTAGGGGGAAATTTTAGGATGAAAAGGAAGAGCAGTACTCACCCCTCCATACCATCTGTTCCCGGCACCGCCCCAGAATCCTCTGGCTCCACAGAAAGCTTCCCTCCCGTCCTTTCTTATGAGTACCTGCACTTTCCTCCTTGCCGAAACTGTAAATGTCTGAGTAGTTCTGTCTAAAATGTAGGTATTTTAGCTGTCAGTAACATTCCATTTTCCATTTACACCTAGCTCAAAATAAGAAAAATTACAATATAATAGAGAACTCTTTGACACCAAACAATTCAACACTAGAATGGGCCATTAATGGAAGATGTGGCATCATTTTGCTCCTGAAGATGTTTGGGGTGGGGGATGGAGGAAGGAAGGAAGGAAGGAGGGAAGGAAAGGAAGGAAGGAAGGAAGGAAGGAAGGAAGGAAGGAAGGAAGGAAGGAAGGAGACATAGTTACTCTTGAAACAAAGTTCTGGTCTTAAATCTATCAAGAGGTATGGGAAAGTTTCTGTGGCAGTGCAAGGTTCACCCCCACTTCTCGGTTTTCCTTGTAATTGGGGTTCTTTGAAGTCCCTGCCTCACCCCCATCCAATCACAGCACTTTAAGCCGGTGACAGTATACCAGAGAGCATGGAAGCCAAGGTGTCAGTACGATAATGAGCTGCAATGCTCCCTGTGTCAAGCATTGCCTTTTCCTACCTGCCGGAACTTCTGAGCTCTGGCTAAGGCAGGGAGACCCATTTATGCACCACTGAGAGAGGTAGTCACTGCCTTTCAGGAGGGATAGTAACTCTACAAGAGTCAGAGCAGGTCTACAGTAGGTGACCTGGTCCCCGCACAGAGCACAGAAGGTCGTGTGTGTGTCAGATCCAGCCAGTCCAGCCTCTGCTGACCCTGTGCTCTGAGCCCAGCTCTTCCAGCCCAGGCCTCACCAACCCTGACCCTGAGCTCCGGCCTTCTAGCTTAATACTGAACAATTACAAGTAGGTTTTTGATCAGCCAGGATGTGTGAAACCAAGGCATGCCAGGAAAGGAGAAATTTGAGGAAAATCACTGGCGAGGTGATGAGACCCACAAAACTCTATGACTTCATTTGTATGTATTTTCTGCTCATGAGCCAGGCTTGCACTGAGCCTTTGGTGTTCAATGTATGACATATACACAAATACACCAAAGCACAGCCACGCATGCATGCGCGCACGCACACACACGCGCGCGCACACACACACACACACACACACACACACAGTGCTTCAAATAGTGAGAAAAAGATTATTTGAAATACAGAGGTGCTTCGTTCCCAAACAATGTTATTATTTATTCTTAAAAAGCATCATTTAGTTTTACTTATTTATAAAGTGACTTAGTGTTTCAGTGAATGTATCACAGTGTGTTTTTTTTTCTCCCGGGGATGACATGTTAGTTAAAGGAAATTGTTGTTTTTAGTTCTTAGATGTTAAATGTTTGACATGCCTGAGCCTGAGACTGCAGGAATTTTTATGAGAATCATCTGGTTTACCGGATGACAAAAGGAGGCTTAGCAGAATGCTGCTGGATGTTTTGTATTTCCAACTCTGTATATACAGAGATTGTTTGTCCTTCTGTCTGTGGGGAGAAAATGGTTTAATGGGAACCAGTCAAAATCCGAATGATATTTTAAGATACAGTAATGACAGTTCTTTTGCCTTGACCCCTGCTCCCAGACTCCGCCGTGCTCTTCTTCCAGACGGTTGCCACAGCAGTCTTCTCCACCCCGCTGAGCCCATTCCTCGGAAGCGTCATCTTCATCACATCCTATGCCAGGCCAGTGAAATTCTGGGAGAAAAACTACAAGTAAGAGCCCCAAATCCACACTGTTTTGCCATGTGCTGAGGCCCCTCTCCCTGCCCCTTTGGAAATGCGGACCTGAGACTCCTTGGTTCAGGTGGCTGAGCCTGGCTCTCTGATGGCTCCCTGTCCACCAACTCGACCCCTGTGAGTTGGGATTGATTGCAAATTAGGGATTGGATGCTGGTCCAAGTCTCTCTGGTTATAAAAAAGGTGACCTAGGAAAGGTGCTGGACAAACCCAGTCCAGTCACATGATGTGCCGTGATTGCTCCTGTCTGGCACATCTCTGCCCTCTCTGGCATCTCTCCCTTCCTCCTTCTGGCAGCCTTCTGGCAGTGTATAAAAGACCCCATCCTGTACAGAGGCACATGTAAGGTCTGCATAAAGGGAATGCTTTGAACTTGTAGAACATATCTGTTCACTTTTTTCCTATTTGAACTGGTCATTAATTTCTTCAAGCAAACAGTGATGGGTAACCATTATTTCTCTGTAGTTACTGTTTTGTGGTGCTGGGGATAGAACCCAGGGTCTCATGCATGCAAGGCAGGCTTTATCACTGAGCTATGTCCCCAGCCCGTGCATTATTTTAAAGGAGGTTGAGAAGACAGGAGTAACAATTTGCTAAGTAATTTTAAAGACCTTTTAATGGTTTGTGTAGAATGACTTGAGGTCAGTAGGACCACAGAGAGCCATGATTCAGGCTGTCCTGAACCACCCCAGGGCTGAGGCAGGGCTTCTCTTTCAGATCTTGGACCTGTTTTACCAGCTATGTTGTATTATTGCATCTGAACCCTAATCCTCTTTCTATAATGCATTTACATTTTGCAGAACTCTGGCACATTCCAGTGTGCCTTTTATGTCTCAGAGTCCAATGTGAAGGCAGGAAACCCATTCCTCTTGTTTCTCCTTTGAGAAAGTTTATTTGAGCATAAAATGTGCATCCTTCTGGGGCAGGCAGTGTGGCACTGTGATTAAAACACAGCCTTGTGCTCCAGGCTGCCTAGGTTCACACTTCGCCTCCACCAGATAACTCTGGGGACCTCAGCCTGTCTTTTCTCATCTATAAAATTGGGGTGATGTAACAGGACCTACTTCATAGACCAAAAGAAACCAGCCAGCATGCATGGAGCACCTCAGGCAGGGCTTAGATATAGTAGGCATGCACACACCTCTGCTAGCATGGCTGCTCTGTGGAGAAGTCCCTGTCCCCACCCTGAGAGTGCTAACAGATGGTCAGCATGACTGAGAGCATCACCTTCCCCTTGAGCACACTCGGGGGCTCCCCAGGGAAACTTAACAAACCAGAACACCCACCTGAGCTGGTGCTGGGAGGCCACAGGAGGTGGTCCTTCATCTTCCAAAAAAAGGAGGACTTTTTGCAATGAAAACAAAGTAGTCTTGAAATTTGTACTTCAACGAAACAGCTTCTGTGCATATCTAAATAGATATGCAAGTCTACACAACCAGAGTAAAGAGAACTACCAGCATCAGCTTGTCTTTAAACTTTATGTAGGAAAAATAAATAAATAAACTTTCATGTAGGAGAAACCAATTTTGAGGACCATTTTAAAGCTCTGAAAGTCACTTCTGGAAAATGCAAATCCTTGTGAATGAGGAATGTGGCATTCTTGTAGACTCTTACCTATGCAGGAAAGGAAAGCACAGAACATTTTAAACTTGATCCTCACCATAACAGGTTTATTTTTGTCCCTTATTCTCAGATAGAGAATCAGTCTTTCTAGTACAGGAAGATTTGATGCAAGCCAAACACATCCTACTTGAGTTGAAAAGGGTGATAGAAGGATAGAGAAATCTCTGTGTAGAGGTTGTATTGAAGGGAAGCATCTTAATCCCTACAAAGAGTTTGGTGTCTTATTCAGGCTCCTCACTTCCAAAGTTCAGCCAGCCTTCTCAGGTGATACATTTGGGTCTAAACTGTCAGTTTATGTGGTTTACTTAATCATACGGAGTTCCAGAGCAAGACTTAGGTTTCTTTATTCAGTGTCACAAATTGCTGATTCTGCCTCAACTCATTCCTCTCATCAGTAAGTAATGCAATTTAGCCTTGTTATGGGCCCATTTTGGGGGAGGGGTGTATCTTGGGTTGAAAGGGACGTCAGAGTCCATGGGGACATAGAAGGATGTCAACTCTTTACTATTCCTCTCTGAAGGAGCTAAGTTGAACATTTTCAGTTCCACCTGAGGAACTGTTCTTGATATATAACTCAGTCTTTGGAAGGTCCATTGTCCTCTGGAAGGCATCAGTGTTGGGAATCCCCAGGCCATCTGCTTAAACCATCAGTGGGTGGAATTCGGGACAGTGGAGCAGTAGGTACCAAGAAAAGAAATGGCAAGACATCTCATCTGGGCTCTTGGAAGCACTCTGGAAAACTCATGCTAGTTATTTTAAGCTTGGCTTTGTATTTTTTAATTTGAAATACTAATGATTTCTGGTGCTTACTGGAGAGTTTACATGTAGCTATTCTAATTACCTTCTTTTCAGTCTGCTACAAAGAAGCAATCTGTTAGTGAAAGTGATTATGCTTAATTATTTATCCATTGTTCCATCATTTTAAAGGAGCTGCCTAAGAGACTCTTCCTTGTGAGCACATTTGCCACAGTGAACAGCTACCTCCAAGCCGAGTATCAGAGGTTGCCTACTTTCCCTCTTGTGTGCCTCCTCTCCCTGTCCATTCTGGTCCCTCACTTCGTAGTCCCTCGGTGTCTATTTCAGGTCTTTGAAGCTAACCTTGAGGTGTGCAGATCTCCAGGGAGCCCTGCACTGTAACAAAACCATTTTAATACTGGAGGAAATGTAAAGTAGCTCTCCTGCCACCTAGGAAGCAGGGCTGGGCCATTCCCTCATTAGCTTGTCTTGGAACCTGCTTGTCCCTGTCCCTAGATTCTGTGCCTCACAGGGGTGTGTGACAGACATGTCCCCTGCCTGCCTCATCACCTTAACCTCCTAGCTAACCTATTGGCTGGTCTCTTTCCAAACATAGTTCTTGCTTCGCTGTCTTAAAACACAGCTCCCAGCATGTTGTCCTTCTGGGAAGCCTGCAGAGCCAGAGTGAGGAGAAGCCCCACCCAGGGGACACGATCCAGGAGGAGCTCTGATGATGGGAATGCCCCGTGGTGTTGCCTTTCTGGCAGGGTAGATGCCAGCCACACTGCTCACATGGGAACCCTTGAGGTGCCCTGGGCCTCTCCAGTTCTCCTTTATCGAGATGATTTGAGTGTAAGGAGCCCCTGTAGGCAGCACACTCTCCAGCCCACCTTTCATAGACAGGGGTTCCATCCAGCACAGGGCTTCTCCTCCACACCCTTTCCTGGCTGTGCCCTTTGCAGACTCATTCTCTTTCTCTCCCCTGCTCATGTCCCATACGTAGCTGCTCAGTAAGGCCCCACTTAGATTGTAACTCTGCCGTGATGTTGCTCTAGTCACCCTGACTAGAAATTCTTTCCCTTTTCCTAAATTTCTGTGACAAGGCCAGCTGCTACAGACTGTAGTGTCAAAATGACCACACACCATTTATCATAACCCAAGATTGTTGTACTTTAGAAATTGGGCAGGGATAGGCTGAGAGGAGGCTGTGGGGTCACAGTCACGAGGTGAGGGGCTGGCAGAGCAGAGTCCCAGCTGGGGCCAAGAAGGATGCTCCATCTCTTTTCAGGTAGCTGCAGGGCCTATCCAGGTGGGGTCCAGGTATGCTACGGGGTGGTTTGGGCTTCCCAGAGTGCAGCAGCCTCAGGAACTCCAGCATAAGTGTGAATAAAGGGGAAAGTACACTATTTTTTTTTTCTGATCTGTCTCAGAAGCTCCACAGCATCATCCTATCTCACTTTCTGCAAGCAAGTCACAATCCCCCAGGATCAAATGCAAGGGAATCATTCCACCTCTGGATGGATGGCTTTTCAACCTTACCCCTTGCCCCAGCTCCTTCCCATTCTCCGTGTTTCTGTCTTCTCTCATTCAACTTCTAATACAGTATGCCCAGACATGTTTTATGGGTCCTTGCAACCTTCCTGAAGTCCTTTCTGGAATGGCAGAGCGCAGTCACATTGCTCAGTGAAATGACATGTGTGTACATCATGTGACAGCAGTCCGCAGCCAGCATTCCATGAGAGCCTCATAAACATGAGTTTTCCTTCTAGCACTGTTTATTTTCACACCTCGGCCATTCACAGAGCCCAGTTCTAATTTTTGAGCATCACAGCTGCCTTAGTGGAATAATAGGATGGCTAAGTTCCACTATTTTGTGGTTTATCTAATAGCAAAGTATATGATAAAATATTCAAGCTAGCTCAGTGAGCTCTTGTGAGTCATGGTGTTACTTTCTAGTCCCTTCTTGGGTTTGTTTTATGGGTGGCTTTGTCCAAAGGGCCATAGCATCTTCTCTATTTTCCATGGAAGGGAGGCAGTCAGCCACTTTCCCTCTGGTGGAGAGGTCTGTACGCCATTGTGCTGAGGCTGCTCTTTGTGGTGTCACTGGTGCCACAGTCCCCTGGATGTACCCACCAGTCGAGTCCTGGGCAACCCAGCATGAGACTAAGAGTTCCTTATGAAAGTGGTTCAGACCTTGGGCACCTAGATAACCCTCGTCCAGATGTTCCTAGGTTTGTTCCTAGTCCTCTTCCTGACTTCATTCATGACCTGCTCTTGATGTCATCTAGTCAGCTTGCAATAGGAGAACTTGTTGTTTTCATGAACCAAATGTTCTTCTCTCTTTATACCTCTTAAAATATAGTGCTTCTCTATTATTTTACCAAATGGTGGCCACTTCAAGCCTTCAGCATCCCAATCTTATGGGAATATGTAGTTTACTGAAAACAAGAAATTTGCACTTCCTCCATCAATTCTCACCTTACTGAATTTAACCCAGTGTTCCATCATGCCATTCCCTATCTCTCTAGTTTCCTTGCTTTGGCCGCAGACATCCTTACCTGTCACCACCTGGGTTTTTATTCATTTTTGCTAGTGATGACAAACAGGCGGGACCAAGG